TTTTAGTGACGCACTACCCAATGCTCAGGGAAACTGTGCTAGATGACAAGAAGTGAAGAGATAGATCATCTGATATGAAGGGGAGGCGAAGGTGCTAAGGGGTGAGCCAAAATTAATTTATCTTCACTTTATCTTACAATAAAGACCAAGAATATTGATGTGTCTCTCTCGCCACACTGCCCTCCCTCACGCATCCTGACTAATTCTTCTGTAGTATATTTTTTCCCTCTTCGTCCCTCCATCCTCTCTCGTTCTATATGGAAACGACTCACTCACGCACCAATTTCTTTGAGTCGCGACCCCCCTCCCCCCCACCTACCTCGACCCTGCCCGCCCTGTGAAGACTATTAAAACATATTTACCTCTCTCTCTCTCTCTCTCTCTCTCTCTCTCTCTCGACCAGTTTCTCACTTGTTGCAACTACTGTGGCGTTTCTCGACTATACTGTTATTGGAGAGGTACTTTTTATCTCTGTGTTGCAATTGTTGAAATATTGAGTTCATGTTCTCAGTTAATGGTACTAGTTATCGCTTGGTCATACTGCAGTGGCTGTGATGTGTCATGGCGAATAATGCTTTTACAGTGAGTCTTTTGTCCCTGAGTTGGGTCGACAGGAGAAGTTTGGTGAATTAAAGAAGTTAAACTAAGGATCGAGACCGACTTAACGTGGATACTGACGGTGTTGTTATTGGAGTATTGTGACATTGTAAACTAGGACACACACACACACACACACACACACACACACACACACACAGTTTCCAGGACAACATTCAACATGTATTTTTCTCTCTTCAACAAGGACTACTGTTGAATGTTGACTAAATACCTGAGTGGCTCTACATTCCTTTGCTGACGATATAACACAACGCTAAACATGGGTAAGAAACGTGTAGTAAATATAAATATAAGAGATATACATAAACAATGGAGTATACAAGTCTTACTGAAGCATAACTCATCTCTTGCTTAAGCCAACTGTAACTTACTCCTAAGCTAAAATAACCAGCTTAACCTACTTCTATCCTAAGCTAACCTAACCTAACTCATCCCTAACTCAACATAACCTTTCTTCAATACCTTGACCATAAACTTAAGTTTTTAAGTCCCACAAAACGCTGCAGTTCAAGGCGTTGTCATGGTGTGTGTGTGTGTGTGTGTGTGTGTGTGTGTGTGTTTAAATATGTATTTGAGTGGGGAGGATGGAAGAAAGGAAGGAGGGAGGGAGCTGGGAGGTTAGTGGGAGGGGAGGAAATTTGAAAGAGAGCTGGGTGGGAGGAGAGTAGGAGGGAGCGGGGAGGTGGGGGAGATGGGAGAAATTTGGAAGGGCAGGAGGATGGAAAGGAGGAAGGAGGGAAAAGGTGGGAGGTATGGGAGGGGGTTTAGGAGGGGAGGAGAATGAGAGGAGAACGAAGAAGAGTGAGAAGGGAAGGGAGGAAAGGAGGAAGAGGAGGAGAATATGCGAGAAGATGAGTGGGAAGAAAGAGGGTGGAGAAGGTTGGGAGGAAGGGGGAGAGGTTGACGGGGGAAGAGGGAGGGAAGAGGAGTCTGGGAAGAGGGAGGAAAGGGAGGACAGGGAGAAGGGAAGAGACTGGGAGTGGAGGAGAATGGGTGGGAGGGGATCCTAATGATATCTTATTGTGTCGGTGGGGTGTGTCGAAGCTGGTGCCCCACATGGTCTGTGGCTTAAAGCTGTTACTTGAGGCCCTTGAAGCTGCAGAGAGAGAGAGAGAGAGAGAGAGAGAGAGAGAGAGAGAGAGAGAGAGAGAGAGAGAGAGAGAGAGAGAGAGAGAGAGAGAGAGAGAGAGAGTTACTTTACTTTTAACATGGTGATTGGGGAGTGTGGCCTCTAAGAATCAACATTACTACATTACTGACAAAATTATCAGCATTCAAGTTTGTCTTATCCTGTACACCGTGAAGAAGATAAATTAAATATATGTTGTGTGAAAAGTGACCGGCAGATGACCTCGAACTTTAATGAGTTTTGGGGATTGCAGTTTGATGGAAAGGATAAATCAATTTGTCTATAGAGTGATTTAGTCATTAGTGATACATATAAAGATATGGTTTGAGGAAGAGATACATTAAACCATCGCGGATCATGGTGAGTGCAGACAGGGCTAAGGTTTGGTTGAAGAGTACAGCTGAAGGCATAATACCCCCTTACCTGATGAAGAGGCAGGGACAGGTGTATAGTTAAAACCTATTAAGGGATTATGGTTGTAAGCTGCCTAGGTCAAGTGAGTGTGGGGTTCATGTTAGGTTAGATTAGGTTAGGTTAGGTTAAGTTAGAGTGTGGTTCATGTTAGGTTAGGTTAGGTTAAGTTAGAGTGTGGTTCATGTTAGGTTAGGTTAGGTTAAGTTAGAGTGTGGTTCATGTTAGTGTGTATTACTAAACTCCAAGAAGACGGACGGAAGCGGTTAAGAATTTCGACTTGATGACCTTGGATGATGAAGATGTGTGGTAAGATTTCTGTTGCTGTTGTTGACTAATATCATGAGAATGTGTTGAGGAGAGGGTGTATGTTTAGCACCTACACCCTGGCCTTGAGACTCTCCGACCCTTTGAGAGAGAGAGAGAGAGAGAGAGAGAGAGAGAGAGAGAGAGAGAGAGAGAGAGAGAGAGAGAGAGAGAGAGGTGTGGTGTGTGTGTGTGTGTATGTGTACTCAATCATCTTATGACTGTAGGAGCATGAAGGTAAGAAGTGAAGATTCCCCTACCCTCCCCCCCCTCAGCATCACCCTGGGCTTTTCAATAAGTCATAGTTGCTGTGCTGTAAGTTGCAGACACGTCTTTTGTATGTTCCTTTGCCATCAAGGAGAGAGGGAAGATTACTTACTTCACGGCCTCAACTTAAGTATTTACAAAATTTTCGTTAGGTTTGGTTAAGTTATGTTAGGTTAGGGTAGGTTATCTTAGTTTAGGTTAGAAGTTAATTAGTTTAACTTGAGTTAGCATAGATTATTAGGTTAGGGTAGTTAAATTAAGTTAGCTTAGCTTTGGTTAGGTTAGAAGTAAGTTAAGTTTGCTTAAGTTGAGTTAGCATAGGTTACGATAGCTTAAGTATGTCTTGCTTAGGTTAGGTTACAAGTAAGTTGGATTAGCTTAAGTTGGCTTAACTTAAATTGAGTTAGCTTGGGTTGGGTTGGTTAGGTTAAATTTACTAAACTGACTTTATAGTTTAAGTTAAGTAAGGTTAGGATTCTGGCCCTGGAATAGTGAAAGCATACTTTTTTTGTTGTTGTCATAGATGCACAAAATTAGGGTGTTAAATCATCTTAAGGGCGAAGGAATATATAAGCTCTATTTACGCTAAAACGGGAGCAAATGATGAGTTTTACAAGAGCTAGGAGGGAGGGAGGGAGAGAGGGAAGAGGGTGAGGGAGGGAGGGAAGAAGGTAGGGAAGAGTGTGAGGGAGGAAGGAGGTAGGAGGGGGGAGCTAGGAGGGAGGGTGAAGGAGGGAGGAAGGGGGGAAAGGGGCAAAGGAGAGAGGAAGGGAGAGTGGTAAGAAGGTAGGTGATGGAGAGAGGGGTGGAGGGTAAGAGAGGGTAGGAAGGAAGGGGGGATGAGGGAGGGAGAGAGGGAGGGAGGGTAAGAGAGGGAGGAAGGAAGGGAGAAAGAGTGAGGGGAATATAGGACTTGCCCTCGACTCGACTCAACCGGTCAGTGCATCGCCAGACGTTGGAGGGGAGACACACGCCGCTCGTTCCCCTCTGTCGAGCAACATTTCTCTGTTTTTAATCAATCGTTTAATTCTTTTTCGCGGTTCACTGTAGACCAAAGGTGTAGTTCTCGTTGCTATGGGACAGTTGAAAGCCTAAACGTGCGGAATAAACCCCCACACACTGCATCTACGATAATATAAAGGACCTGACACCTGTTGACTTAGAAATGAAATACGAATTTGTTACGTGTTATCGAAAGAGTATCTATCGTACGTTGCTGTCGATGGCACTATAATTCTGTGAGTAGTAGACTGGAAATAAGAAAATTATAAAAGTATTAAGAGTATATATAGGATCTGATAGCTTAATAACAGAAACTGGACATACAAAACAAAAAGGGAATAGGTATTTTAGAATGTCTCCAAAACTTTGACAACCTGACTATTGTTCTCGAGTGCGTGGAGTGTTTTGAGGGGACCTTGGCTGAGAGGTGTGTATGTGTGTGGAGGAACACCGAGTCAGCTTCAAACTAAGAGCACTTATACTATATAGTGATGACTAATGCGAAAAAGACTCCTCCTCTGTACTGCCTCTGATTCAATGCGAAAATAAAATGGAAGATTGATTTTGATGAACGAGAACCCATGATTGTTTTGTTTTCGAAGAGGTATACAGTGCTGTGTGACTTGAGCGACTGATAGTATTGTGTGTTATCCATAAGGCCTGTGACCACCTGCAGAATTTGTGACACCAACAGGACCTATACGAGATAATAATACTTGTACAATCTGTGCGTTACATACATGATCTGCAATACTTACAGGATCTTTGTACTATTTGCAATATATCTCTTGTAATAGTTGTAAATTCTGTAACACTTGCGAGACCTTTGCGATACCGACAACACCTGTAATCATAACAAGATCTGAGACATATCTGTTAGTGTTGTCATACCTGCAGGAGTGAGGAACACACCCACAAGCATCACCTTACCTTACTGACAGAACGATACAGGTAAGTAAGGCTAATTAAATATTTTTCTCTGGCATGAATAATAATGTTTTGTTTTCTTAAACTGAAGGAGGCGTCGACGAAGAACTCTGATGGTGCTACTTACCAGAGGTCGAAGAGGTAAAGCACTGCTAGTCTTTTATTGAAATGGGTCACTGCCGGTCGAGTAAACTAAACAGTGTTACATGATAACTCGACCTCGGTCACTGTAAATCGGTGTAGTGGGTATGGTAGTGTTACTAAATCTACACCAATGTCGGTCGAGCAGCCTAGACACTGTAGATCACTGTAGGTCAAGTAGCAAGCCAAGTGTTACTGTTTACTGAACCTCTGTCACTGTAGGTCTATTACTAGGTCCAGACACTGTTTCATATTTCTTCTCTACTCGAGTCTCTGCTACCACTTCATCACTATCCTTTAACACCTACTGAGGTAAACAGATAAACAACGTTATCTCCACCTATCCCCTATCCCCGTAGGTTGTTCGATCTGAAGGTGGGTCATAGGAACACAGACAGATAGATAGATATTCGGTAAAATTCAGCATGTACTGTATATAGAGACAGTACAGGTATACAAACAATAGTAAACAGTAAATTCAGTCAACCAGAGACGTGTTCCAGGGATTGTTTTTGACACGAAACTCTTAACAGACTCTTTGTCTTTAAGAGATCTTGACATTCCATAGATCTAATATGTAGAAAACGTTTTATTGCTACGTTTGTTCATCACGTTTGTTTGACTTCTTCCAAGCATGACGTCTACATATGGTTAGGTTAGGTTAGATTATATTAAGGTGTAGCTTAGGTTAGGGGTGTGTAAGGTTATGTTACGTTACTTTATATTAAAGATAGATCAACTAATGTGTAGGTTTTACGTTAGGGATGTGTTAGGTTAGGTTAGGGGTGTTAGGTTTGATTAGGTTAGAGGTGTGTTAGGTTAGGTTAGGGGTGTTAGGTTACGTTACAGATGGGTTTAGTTAGGTTAGGGAAACGCTAGGTTAAACTGCATTGAATTAAGTTAATTTTGGGTTGGTTAGAAGTACGTTAGGTTATACTGGATTAAATTAGGTAGTTTCACATCCCGGTCTAGTCACAGAGGTAGGAAATTAGTGAGTCACGTTCATTTGTTATTCCTAAGAAAATATCCAAACATTGCAGTATATCAAATCTAGTGGCAGACACCTGGGGTTGTATTCCCAGTGGCTCATGCGTTGAGTCTTCTACCTTACCTGGAATTAAAATGTCGCACCTGGTTACAATAATGTCCTTGTAACACGTCAGTCACTTCCCTGTAACATTTCAGTGTTATTTTGGCCTGTAACTATGTGGTAAGTTACAGGAGCCAGTTATATGAATCTGTTTCATCTAGTGTAAGGGAAAACAAAATTAAGACACAAGACCCTTTTAAAATTGTTGTCTGCTGTGGTGTGATTTTCTGGTGTAGTTGTCTGCTGTGGTTTGGTTGTCTGCTGTGGTGTGGTTGTCTGCTGTGGCGTGGTTGTCTGCTGTGGTGTGGTTGTCTGCTGTGATGTGGTTGTCTGCTGTGGTGTGGTTATCTGTTGCGGTGTGGTTGTCTGCTGTGGTGTGTTTTTCTGCTGTGGTGTGGATGTCTGCTGTGCTGTGATTTTCTGCTGTGGTGTGGTTGTTTGCTGTGGTGTGGTTGTCTGCTGTGGTGTGGTTGTCTGCTGTGACGTGGTTGTCTGCTGTGGTATGGTTGTCTGCTGCGGCGTGGTTGTCTGCTGCGGCGTGGTTGCTTGCTGTGGTGTGGTTGTCTGCTGTGGCGTGGTTGCTTGCTGTGGTGTGGTTGTCTGCTGTGACGTGGTTGTCTTCTGTGGTGGGATTGTCTGCTGTGGTGTGGTTGTCTGCCGTGGTGTGGTTGTTTGCTGACTACTTGTGTATTAAATGTCGTTTCCAGTTGTCGTTGTGTTGTCTTGGTTCCCTCCGTAGTTCCTCTGGTCATGGTCGTTGAAAGTCACTCAGTCGTTGTCGTTTTGTAGTCGTCGCTTGCTTTCTGTTTGTGGTCGTGTTCTGCCTCTGCTGTAGTTGTGAACCACGTTATCGTAGTTATAGATATTGTGTAGTCGTATTTGTATGAGTCGTTTTGTCGTGTAGATGTGAAGAGTGAAAGTGGTCGTAACACTGTCGTATAATCATCTTCGTGTTGTCGTTAGAGCCGTCGTGTTTATCTTGGTCGTATTAATGTCAATATAATCGTCCTATCTAGTCGTATCACTTGTATCTATCATCGTCGTAGTTGAAGTTGTCTTTGTCACAGTCGTCGATTAGGATGTCTGGGAGGTCGTTTTGGAAGTCGTCGTGGATATGGTCGTAGTGGTGGCTATGATAGTCATGTTGTAGTGGTCGTAAAGGTAATGGTCTTAATTTTTTGTCGTAATAGAAGACGGAGTGGAAGTTGTCGTTCTGGTCATCAGTGTGGGTGTGGTGATGGTCGATGACGTAGTAGTCACCATGGTCGTCGTGGAGGTCGTCATTGTGGAGATCCTCGTTGTAATCCGAGGTATTGGTCGTGAAGACAGTGATGGAAGTCGTTCTAAGGTAGTTTGTATAGTCGTAATGACTTTCGTTGAGGAGGTTGCTGAGATGGAAATCATATAGGTCGTTAGGAAAGTCGTTGTGGAGGTCGTCGTGTAAATGTTTGTGTAAATCGTTCAGGAAGTCGTTGCACAGTACGCCGTATCGTATAATTCAAGAAAATTGACGTTGAAGTGATCATGTAGATGGTCTTATAGATAGTCGTAGAGGTCGTCGTGTAAGTCGTCGTGGCAGTGATCGCAGAGGTCATTGTGGTCGCCTCCTGTGGCCACGTGTTCAATCTTACTGCACCATCAGGAACCAAGCAGCTGCCAGGCGATTATTATCACTCCTCAAGAGAATTGTAGTGTCTCTCTCTCTTCTCTCTCTGTCTCTCTTCCTTTTCTCCCACTCTTTCCGTTCTCTCTGTCTGTTTCTCTGGTATCTCTGTCTCTCTTTCTCTCTTACATTACTTTTTCAATCTCTTTCCTTTCATTCTTTCTTTCAGTCTGTTTATCAAGTATCTCAGATTCTCTCTCTCTCTCTCTCTCACTCTCTCTCTTCCTACATATTTATCTGTCTTTCTCTATATGTCCCTCGAACATTAGCTCATCTATCTATCTATTTATCTATTTTCATCTCATACGTGAGCTGCCTCAAGAGTTATCTCAAATATCACTCACCAGGAAATTGGATAGCTCTCTCTCTCAACCCAGCCAGCTGTCGCACTGTTTCCTTCTTTCTTTCTTTCTTTTGCTTTCATTTACCCTTGTTCTTTGTCACGCCACATTTTCTTTCTTTTCACAGTTTATTTTGTATGTCAATTGTCACACTCTCTGTGTTACTCGCTTTCACTCGAGAAATTATTGTCTCTCTCTCTCCTTCACGAATGTCCTGTTTACCTTCCAATCTTGCACAAGACTCTCTCTCTCTCTCTCTCTCTCTCTCTCTCTCTCTCTCTCTCTTACACTACTTTGTTCCTTCTCGATATAGTTCAAAAGTTATTTATCAGTTCATCAATCACTCTTTTCAAGTAATTATCACGGGGACCTTCGGAACATGATATTTTCTCCCTGTACACAGTCCTTTTGTGCAATAAAATGAATTTACTTCGGGTGCGTATGTCGATGGTAAGTTGGTGGAGAATCACACTAGTTGCTGAATGATGGTGGAACAACCCTTGGGTGGACTAGCATCCAGTCAAGGTGGTGGAGTAACACACTCGCTGCTGAATGCTAGGAGCCAGGGAGCACTAACGGGATGACTTTGCCATTCCTTGATGCCTTATTATGAATAGAGAAACATCATGGCTGAAAACAACTGTTGCAGCAGCAAGACTGAACCACTGGTAGAGAGAGAGAGAGAGAGAGAGAGAGAGAGAGAGAGAGAGAAGAGAGAGAGAGACTTGCTTACTTTCCTAAAATAATCTAATAATCAATCGACCAGGTACGGTCCTTTCTCTCATCTCATCACTCGTGTGCTGAAAAATCCACACGTCAGTTAGTATTGTCCAAACATCTGGTTCACAAGTTTAAACTTTTTACGTGAAGCATAAAATTTACCTTATATCAGAACAAATGAGTTTTAATATTCGGGTATGATGTTTTTAAACACCTAATGTTTTCTAACATTTCATGAAATATGCGTTTCCAATTTTTATTTAATTCACGATAAGATTAAATATTTCACAATTCTCACGACCTGAAAAAGAACAAAAGTTACAGCGAAAAAATATGTTTAGGAAATGATATATATTACTGTGAGAGGACTTAAAACACTGTATCCCGGGGATTAGATACCATAATGGCTAAATCCCCAGATCATTTGTTTTATTGTGTTTTCTATCTTTTCAATGACCGCTTCAGTTCAGGCACGAAATGGAAATTAATGTTGAAAGTTTTATATTTCGACTTTTTAAGTGATATATATATATATATATATATATATATATATATATATATATATATATATATATATATATATATATATATATATATATATATATATATATATATATATATATATATAACAAAGAAGTATGTCTGTGTCCGCACGAGAATCTCGGAAACTACTTTACCGATCTGTAGTGATGATGGATGGTGTTATATGTAGACAATGATACCTTGTGTGCCCTCGGCTATGGTTTAAGTTTTGATGGTTCTAACAAGGGAGTCGACAGTGTTGACATAGCCAGAGCATTTTGCAATTTGGAGAAATTCAGTAATTTGACAAGTGAAGAAGTGAACATGTGTAAAGGTGTGTATGCATCTATGTCCAAGCCTTGCATTCCAAACTGCCCAGAAAGATTACCAAAGCAATCCAAGCCCTTAAGAAAAATAAGGATCTACATGTCACTAAAGCAGATAAAGCCAACACAGTAGTGATTTTAAACAAAGATGACTATATCTCTAAAATGAATGACCTTTTATGTGATACTACAACATATTCTAAACTCATAAATAATCCTCTCAACACTGTCAACACCCAGTTCAACAAAAAACTGAAGTCCCTATTGAGAGGCAAAGCTACTCTCATTAAACATCTTACTTCAACGTCCCCTCCACTGCCATACATGTACGGTGTAATCAAGACCCACAAGCCCAATAACCCAGCAAGACCCATCATTAGCTCAGTTGGGTCAATCTCTTATAAACTATCTAAATGGTTAGTTTCTTTACTAAATCCCCTAGTTGGCAACATTTCTAACTCTAATATCAAGAATAATATGGATTTGGTTGATAAACTCAATAACTTACACATTAATTATGATTTTAAACTGGTCAGTTTTGATGTAACATCACTCTTTACAAAGGTCCCAGTTGATGATTTACTAGAGTTCCTCATAGATTCCCTGGATGAATATTTCATTGCCCGTCTCGAAAGACGACTTCATCGAACTCATCAAACTATGTATTAAGGATTGTAAATTTGAATTCAATGGAGAATATTATGCTCAAAAATTTGGTATGGCAATGGGTAATCCACTCTCACCTGTATTAAGCAACCTATATATGGAATTCTTTGAAAAGAAACTATTAAGTAATATTTTACCACCTTCAGCAGTCTGGTTTAGATATGTTGATGATGTATTATGTCTCTGGCCATGTAATGAGGACCTAAAAGCTTTCCTGCCACAACTTAACAACTTAGCCCCCTCGATCAAATTCACTGTGGAATTAGAGCATGACTGTAAATTGCCATTCCTAGACTGTCTGATACACAGAATAGGTAACACCTTTAAGTTCAGTATTTATAGAAAACCTACTAATGTGTGTTCATACATTCATTATTATTCTGCCCACCATAATAGAGTCAAACAGTCAGTATTTTCAACAATGTTTTTACGTGCTTTGAGAATTTGCAGCCCGGAATTCATTGATGAGGAATATAAATATATCTATAATATTGGCTCAAACCTTAAATACCCTAGATCTTTCATAGACAAATGCCTGAACATTACTAAGAAATCTTTTTATAGAACTGATCCCAAGCCCACCCATGACCATAAGAATCTCTTAGTATTACCATTTCACAAAAAATTTCTCAAATTCCTTTACAACTAAAAACCTGGAACGTCAATGTGGCATTTAAAAACTCATGCACTGTTAAACAAATGTTAATCAAGAACTCCCCCAACAACACAATTGGTTGCATTTATAAAGTTCCTTGCAAGGAATGTAATATGTTTTACTTAGGCCAGACAGGTAAAGATCTTGTAACTAGACTTAAACAACATAAATATAGTGTTAGGACAGGCCAGGAATCCAATGCTCTGTTTGTTCATCTGAGGGATAATAAGCATTGCATTGACTGGGATAATGCCTCCTCAATATTACCTTGTAATTCAATTGACAGTAGGAACATTATAGAATCTAGTCTCATTAAACATACCGAAGCAGTCAACATGAATTTGAGTAATGGCATGTACAAACTGGACAATTTTGTAATTAAGAAGATTTGTAACCAGGTGAGAAGGTTGGGTCACCTTACCCTCTGACCTGACTACCGACCGTTGCGGTGCTTTTTAAAGATTAGTAGGGTCATTACCTAATACCTGACCATTGTGGACCTGATCTCACCCTCCTCTGTATATATACACCTTGTTTTGTACTTCTCCTTAGTCTGTACTCACCCCTGAAGATGTGAATTACACGAAAGCGCTTGGGAACTTCGTGTTTTCTTCTTTCCTTGTGGTTATCAGCATATACCTGGATCACGCGCACCTACAGTGATTTATATATATATATATATATATATATATATATATATATATATATATATATATATATATATATATATATATATATATATATATATATATATATATATATATATATATATATATATATATAAAATGAGGAGAACCAGGGAAAACACAAACATTTGTCAAATTGTGTGTGTGTGTTTTTACACAAGTCTTCACGTCACTGTCTCGCTCACACAACCACTATAAACATCGATATATCTCACATATTACAACACGTATTATACAGGAGTGAGGGAGTTGTGGGTATTGTTATGTGGTTAATAACATACGAAAAGAATAGTAAAGAAGCTCCGAAGAATATTGTTGTACTCGACCCAGGGACCATTACCAACTGGACGCTGACACTATTGCTCGCCTGTGTTACTTTCTGCTAATTAACAGTTACACCGTCTATATATATATATATATATATATATATATATATATATATATATATATATATATATATATATATATATATATATATATATATATATATAATTAAGAGTGGTATCCCTATTTATTTAGCAAAAACATCAATCGGGTTTTAATGCTGAATCGGATGATAATCCTTATTTAGTGCGCGCGCATTTTGTGTGTGTGTGTGTATGTGTGTGTGTGTGTGTGTGTGTATGTGGTTTCATAAGTTGTTCGCTTATAGATTCACCAGTCAGCACTACTTTCTCTACCTACAGTATATCTTAGGGCCATACTCGTGTCCATCAATATTATTGACTGAGCTGCTGTTGCTGCTGCTCTCTATATGTAATACCTTCACCTACACACCAACGTGTCCAAGTAAATCCTGGTGCTTCGTGCATACTGTATAATACCACATCCGGTCACCAAGTTAGGAGATATCACATCCAATCAAAGTTTCATATTAGGATTTATATTATAACAAAACGTGTTTTTAGTAACTCAACACAAATCTCGCCTTTCATTAGTATTAACTAAAAACAAATTTATCTAACGTCACTTCATGATTATGTAAATATGTCAACTTTGGTGGACTCAGTGATAAGGAAGGACTGAGGTGCTAACATTATTCAAAATGTCTGTATCTATCTTCGTTACTCTTCTTCTGTCGTATGTGATAAACTACAACACAGAGAAAGATGCGAAAGACAAGTGTAAAAACCAACAATAAATGTATAAGACAACAACTTAGCCACATCTTCAACCCAAGTTCGTTTTATAAATTGTAAATCATTAATTTTATGTTAACAATTATACAAAGCACCAAATCAGTTCACAGTAAGTGGCGTCATGAGGACTGTTTATGTCAACACTATAACATCGACTCGACTGTATACGATCCTCTAATAGGAATAAGTAAATTCTATAATACTGATCAAGAACCTAAGGTCAATTATACTACCTGTCTTAAGATCTAATAACTATACCAAGGAGGTAAGATAGAATTCAGACCAACCTGTAAGACGTGTGTGGAACAATAATGAATTAATGAAATAAAAAGAAAACACGATTCTGGCAAAAGTGGTAATATATATGACTTTTTTATGGAGCATTTTGTAGAGAGA